GTAACCCCCCCCCCCACCCATGGGGAAAGCTGAAGTCAAAGTTTAAGAGCTAATGATGAATATTATAAAGCCTGCCATTTGAAAAAAAATATATTATCTAGAACACACTTGTGTATGCACTCTGCCTTCAAAATACGCAGTAATTTGATCAATTCACCGACGCATTACATTGGTAACCTGAACCCTTCATACCACATGTTAGAGCTTTTTAAAATCGAAGTTTTCTATTGAGTTGTGTTTAAATTAGTGACTGGCAAGCTGCGATTTGCATTTAATTTTTTTTCTAAAGTGATAATGAGGTTAATCTAGAAACGAAGAGGCCATTTTAAAAGCATGTTGAATGAAACTGAATTGAAGGCAATTATAAAATCTACCATGTTGAAACATTGGGGGAAGTAGTGAAATTTGCTTGATTGAATCCACAATATGATCCAAAATTCAATGCCCCTCGTAGATCAAATAACGCATTCATATTCATTAGACAAATGAAAAGGTTGATTTCAGTAAACTTTTAAAAAGAAAATGGAAATTATCTTTCTCCTCTTTAAACATGACTCACTCGAATTCGGTTGGGTAAATTTTTTTCATTCAAACTACATCAAATCATCAACAATACACCTTGTACCTTAAATAACTTTTAAAATCTTTTCTTTTATTTTTTCTGAAATATAAGTAGGTTTGTGTTAATTGATTCATTTTAATGAGGGAAGATCGCATTTCATGCATACATAAAAGATAGTCATGGAAAAAAAAACTTGCAAGGTTAAAAAATAATTAGAGAAAAAAATAATTTTGGTCTTGAATTCGTTGAATGAGTCAGCAATTGCCAAGCAATCCTTTCAACTCGACTGTCTTCTTTTCAACGACAGCGCTAAGTGAACACAATAAGAATTCGAGTGTAGACTCATTAGCCAGAGGCGAATTAAAAGAATTGTCACCGCTTTGATTAAAGGAAATGTCAAATCCACCCCCCCCCCTCCCTCCCTTGCATCCACACTGTGATATTCAAGTGAAGATTTAAAGACGATGACTCTAAATTGAAATTCAAGCTTACTTAAACAGGCATTCAAGAGCATATTGTCGGGACTAATTTGCATAAAGGCATACAGTGATAAAAATGTGTGAACCTCTTTAGACAAATACCGGGTTCCCAATAACTCGAACTTATGCATTTAGTATAATGAACTTCGTACTCGTGTCAGTGTGTAGAAAATTAAGTGATCGGATGTGTATCAAGTAACAATATATCAAGAATGTAGGAAGTGACAACAATATCCTCCATTTCCTTCTTATTACCCTAAAATTTGAACGTCGAACGCTCCTGTGCGTGAGTCATGTTGTTGCTTAGTGGCAAACAACTGAAGATTCAATTACTCAGCTGAAGTTAACAGGTGATATATATCATTCATTCACATGAGGCATGTTTATCAAATATGAGGTCATGATGCGGTAATCACTCTGGTTGAGATGTTTACCCCACCTGAAGAAAGACAGAGGTCAAACTAACTGCGCAAATGAATACAGTCGAGTTAGCTCATTTCAATTAAAATGTTTCACTTGTCCCCTCAAAGTTATAAAGATAGGGTTATGTCAGCTATACTGACAAGAAGGCACAATCATCTATCATTGACCTAACGCAAATTGCTGGTGCAAATAGTTTCAAGTTGGATAGCGGAGTAAGTGTCCATGTGATAACAGGAGAAATCAAACCATGAAGGTCAGTGGCAATTTGTCTTGAAAACTGCATTTCACCAGAATTACACTTTTCACGAGTTCTCTAAAATCGCGAAAGATATCATCACCACTTTCCATTCTTCCCCAAATTACATTATTATTTATTTATTTATATCAAATGACAGGCATTTTGATTTCTAAGAGTATTTATTTATATCAAATGGCAGGCGGTTTGATGGTTATCATAAGCCCTGAGTTGACTTCAGGCTTCACAGAGAGGAAGGAAACATCAAAGTGATTCAAGAAGGAAGGAACATCAAAGGGAAAAAAGTCGAGAGAGGGGAGGGGAACAGAAGAGTGTTTCATAGATGTAAAAGAGAGAGACACAAAGGCAGAGTGTTACAGAAGGTGAGGTGAGTACTGTGAAAGTAGTCGAATATGACAAGGTAAGATGAGTACTGTGAAAGGGGTCAAATATGACAAATAGTCGGCTCATTGTGTTTTGAAGTCGGAAGTCAACTGCCGAATAATAGACTTGTTGTTTGCCGCTAGTGAGAAGTCAACTGCCGGTTTATAGACTTTTTTGCCGCTTTGAAGTCAGAAGTCAACTGCCGAATAATAGACTTTTTTATTTGGTAGTTTGAAGTGAGAAGTCAACTGCCAGTTAATAGACATTACTTTAAAAGAGACAGACAGACAGACACAAAGGCATAAAAAGGGTAAGATGAGTACTGTGAACGGGGTCGAATATGACAAATAGTCGGGCCATAGTAGTTTGAAGTGAGACAGAAAGACATAAATGCATAAAAAAGGTAAGATGAGTTCTGTGGATGGGGCAATAGTCGGCTCATTGTGTTTTGAAGTCGGAAGTCAACTGCCGAATAATAGACTTGTTGTTTGCCGCTAGTGAGAAGTCAACTGCCGGTTTATAGACTTTTTTGCCGCTTTGAAGTCAGAAGTCAACTGCCGAATAATAGACTTTTTTATTGAGTCAGAAGTCAACTGCCAGTTAATAGACTTTTTTTGCCGTATGGCCGTATGATTATACGTTGCCCAGGGTGCACCACGTGGAGGTAAGTCTATTGCCAGGGTGCACCACGTGGAGGTAAGTCTATCACACACCCCGATTACGTAATTATAGAATTTGCTATTATACGTTTTTTTACACGTCCGAATAGTATTCGTGAAACAAAAATTAGCTACCCATTTGGTAAAAGTGTATATAGGCACTAAACAAAATTAATTATTGGCAAAGTTTGAAATTTCGGAACGATATGATCGAAATTGGCTTCCGGCGAGCTGTTCAAGAATTGTAGATAAATGGTTTAAATAAAGACCCCATCATTATGTGATGTATAATAGTCAAGTCCTTCAGTCAGACGCACTCCAGGTACAGCTTCGCACCCCTCCCCCCTGCTAAATTTCATTAAAATACTTCACTCACCAATTCGGTGCCTTTCTTCATACTGTCTGAAGATTGACCTTTACTAAACTTAGCTCTAACCTCTCTAGAACAATATTCAATCCAAATTTAAATCCGGAGGCGTATCTTCACATCTGGATAATCTAGCCTAGTCATTTGTCGATATAAGGTTGTCATTAACACTAATAAGTCATTATAATCATCGACACAATGTCATTACCGACATTTCAACCAAGTATATGCCAGTTGTAATTCAATACAGCTCTATTTTATAATGCACATTCGCTCTCTAATCCTGCGCGCGAATCGAATTTCAGTTAGCAATTGTCAATGGATTCGATGAATTACACTTCCCCACTTCTCTTCACCCACTTATAATACAGACAAGGGACTTTAGAGGAAATAAAATTAAACAGTATGAAGGTAATCACACAACAGTACTAATTGTTACAATCTGCATAAATGGTTAATTACATGTAGGAGGAAAAGCGGGCCATTAGGGAGTTCAGAAAACTGCTTTGCAAAAAAAAGATTTGACAGAAAAAAAGTTTATGACAAATTGCGCATTTTGTTTTGGGATTACGATTTCGGCTGGCATCGAAAATACCAAAAACCCCGTTTTGGAACAAACCATTTTTTGAAAATACGCATGAAAATCACATATCAACAAAAATTGTCACTCAAGAACTTCCAAAAACTAGGCTTCAAGTGAATTAAACATCTTCGATTAGCAGAGTTCAAGAAAGTTTTTAGCAAATGGAGGCCAATCACCACTTGATCTGGAATAGGAAGAAATTAAACTAAAAACGCGCATGAAATCAATTGCTCCGCTGATTGTTTTGAAGATTTTAACAATAAATTCTTTATTTGAATTATTTTATCAGTAAATAAATGAAGTATTACTTTAAACTTCAAGTGCCCTGATTGGGGAAAAAGAATACGAAACTCAATGAGTATCTTTGGCCGTTCGATATTCTCGACTGTAGCTTTGGTCCCTTTCTCAGTTTTAGCTGCAGCATTTCCTCCTGAAGGTCATATTCACACGAGCGTTTTAGGAAAGTCTATTTTTGCCCCAACGCATATGTCATAGAGTAGGCCTGATATCGAAAGAAGCATAAATTCGAATTTTCGTTGCATTGTCAAGGCCTTCCTTGTAAGTTTCATGTATTAGACTATAAATTTTCTTTTAATATTTTAAATGTGAGTTTCCGGTGGTTGTCCAAATCTGAGGAGAGCGCTAGCCCAAAATCACTCTGGTGAAAAACACCCGAATTCTCATCGCTCTGATTGGCCAGTGTTAACAGGTCCAATCGATTATTTAAATGACTGCATATGAACAGATGAGTAGCTTTTGGTAAATTCAAATAGGGAAGATGTGCAATAAAACACCAAAGTAGATCTTTAATGCTTTTGAATTATGCTTTTTTGCTAATAGCATCACAATACAATTGCATTAGTACAACTGACCTGAACAGACGCGATTTCCGGTTCCAAATAGGGTTGTGGCAATTGTCCGATGGATGGGGCTTCAGTGCCATAGGCGGGCATTTGTCGCAGACGAATGAGAGACTCCCTCTGCGGGGACTTGCGAACCAACG